TAGTAAGGATATGCCCTTTGTGTCCCAACTAATTACCAAATATGTTAACATTTGCTAGCAAAAGCTTAACCAGTAGGGGGTGCTCTAGAACAAGACAATAACTTCCAGCATTTAAAAAGAACCACACCAAAATTTTAACAGTGTGCTCTCCTTTTCACGTTCCACGTGACACTGCTATTTTTTAATGCAGAGATAGAAATTGTATTTCAGTATGCAAACAAAACTCCAGATGGTATCAAATATCAACATTTAAAGTAAAACAAAGACATGTTTAATTGCAGCAAGCTGCTCCAATGGGGGGATATCACATATAAAATTGCAATATCCTATTTATAGCAAGGAAAGTTATTGCCATATAAGTTTAATTTTAAAAAGCTCACTAGAGGAGAGCTCATATAATTCTATTTTATTAGACATCACTGTTTTCACATATAGTTGTGGCACATTTCAAAATCTTTATAATCCTATTTTCAGTGAACTCCACTCCAAGACATTTGTTTGCTTTTTCTTCTGTTCTGAGCCCATAAAAAGGGAACGAGAATCTTCCTTCTCAGGCACTTCCAATTTTATGATTAACTGAAAGAAAATAATAAAAAGGTTTGTAATAAAAAGGAGACCACTGTAAAAAGAATACTAGAAGTTTCCATTCTCCACAGGATGGCAAATGTACATAGGAATATCCTAATTTTCCACTTGTTTCTGCCATTGTTACCAAGTAGCCCTTGTCAAAAGCTTCCGGAGAATTTATGAATGCCAAACTTCCCTTTGTTTATGATCTTCTGGAGTCTTCTTGAGATGATGGCCATCTTTATACCACTGAGAAAAGCCAAAACCCTCTGTCTTTTTCTTATTAGTGGTGAATTTTTATCATAGCCTTGCTCCACAATGATCAGGGCAACACACATGGAATTGTCCCATTTTGAGATCCCTGTGAGGTAATTAGGTGTGAGTGTGACTTGATCTACAATGCCTCATGAACTTCATGGTTGACTCCTTCAGCCCAATTCTCTTGCCACTCCTACCACCCTGTGAGGTAGGATAGGCTGAGAGAGAATGACTGGATCGAGGTCACTGAGCAAGCTTCCCCAGGAGAGTGGAGGTCTCCCAGGTCCCTTAACTACTACACTACATTATAAAGCTTGCCTTGTTTCCCAAGACACAGAACAGGTCAACACATGTCTTTATTAATTCTCAAATAACAATGAAAGACAGGAGAAAATGATAGGAGAATCAAGCAGAAACTGGATTTAAATATTTAGAAAGGAGTGGAATATTGAAAGTAGCGCTGCAAAAGTCAGGAAAACAAGCAGCTGGAATGGGAGGGGAAAGACTCCAGTTACAAAAAGGATTCTGATCCTTTCGATTTCACATTGGGTCAAGTAAGGCTGCCAGCTGGCTAGGCAGAACAGCCCACCTCATCTGCCCCATCTTTTCCTCTGAGGTGTGTTAAGCAGAAATCAACAGATGATGCTTTTCATGGCAGGATAACCTGCTCCTTGCAGCAAATCCAGGTGACGGTTAAAAAGACAACTAGAGAGGGCAGTTCAAATGCAAACAGATTGCTGGGAAAGGCTTTGAGCAAGGGTTCCTGCTAGGGCTGTCAAGATGCCTGAAGGGGGAAGAAATCATGTCCCTTTATGTGTGGAGATGGGCAGCGTATCTTTTTCCTGGCCTGGAGGCCATTTGATTTCTTTTGCTGGTTGATGTCACACACGTCCAGAAATATTTGAAACTTTATACCAGATTATTAGACCAATGAAGATTTAAGTGTGAGTATGGTTACCACGTGAAAGGATCCATGGTCTGCCTTATAAGTCTACATCAAGCCACACCATATGTGAGATAAGGCGATTGTAAACTGCTTTGAGACTCCTTTGGGTAGAGAAAAGTGGAGTATATAACCCAACTCTTCTTCTCCTCCTCTTCTTCTAACGAACACCCCATTTAACATCTATTAAAGGGACATTTTCTCCAGGCAGTTGGCAAACCCTATTTCTGGCCCTATTTTAAGTGCAACTGGTTTGTCTGCTTCTAACAAGTGGGCAACTGTCCTCATCTGCAAAGCTGGTCACATGCCAGTTAGTTCTGAGAGTTTGCCATTTCCTTATCAAACTCAGCTGCTACCCTTTGACACCCAAACACATGAGTCCAGACAGGCAGTTATGTACCACTGGTAAAGGACCACAGCTCAAAGGCAAAACATCTCCTTTACATGCAGAAGATTTAACTGGCTTTTTTCAGTTTAAAAGATCAGATAGCAGGTGATGCAAAAGACTTCTGCCTGAGACCCTGGAAACTGGCTGCCAGTCAGAGAAGGCAATACTGACCCTCACAGACCAATGGTCTGTTTCACTATAAGGCAGTTTCATTTGTTCACCAGATGAGCACAGATTGATCCTAACACACTGCATGGCATCCATCTACACTCTGCATTTACTCCCTGTTCTTACTTCAGGGAAATTGTACAGGGGGCTCAGCTTCCATTAAGGTGGTATCTACTACAAAATGCCCAGAGAAATGCTGATCACTACTTTGGGGTCAGGAAGCAATTTTTCTCCAGGCCAGTTTAGCTGGAGATCCTGGGGGGTTTTTTGTCATTGTCTAGGCATGAAACAGCAGTCACTGGGGGTGTGGGGGGGAGGTATTTGTGAATGTCCTGTATTGTGCAGGGGGCTGGACTAGATGACCCTGGAGGTCCCTTCCAACTCTATGATTCTATAAACAGTTGGTCAAAAGGATTGATCATCATGGGCCTGTTCTGATGTCACATTTTGTAAACATTATCTAACGCAGCAGAAAAGGGAAGAGTATGGCATTACATACTATGTACTTGCATTTACTTTGTGTGAATGTACCCCAAAGATAAAAATGTATATTCATGTCCTTTTTTATATGTGTTGGTTTAAGGACAAGCTGACAATAAAGGGGTGGAAAGGATTGGTGAATTTCACATGCCCAAATAAGATTAGACTGGAAGTCCCAGATCAGGCCCTGCTGGCCAAAGAGTGTCATAGCAGTAAAGGAGCCACAAGGATGAGCAGACTGTGTGTGTTATTCATCGAGGCATTAGCGTCTTTCTTTTAAATAGCATTGTCTCCAGGATTCTGGTAATTAATGGGTGAATAACAGCTTGGAACACGAGTATCTGGTTTTTATGGAAATGTAAAATCTGTGTAGGTTGCACTGGGGTGGTGGTGGTGTTTGCAGTGGAATCTGCAATCCAGTCTGAGATCCAAGTCCAAACCTGTCCAAATGAAGTTTGCTTGGAGAAGCACCAGCCCTCTCTTTGCACCAAAGGTCTGGCAGACAGTGAAGGCTTCCATCTATTGTTCATTAGCAGTCTGATGAATTAGAAATATGTCCTTTGTGCACAAAACGATACATAGGGTGCGATATTCTGAAACGAGCAATGGAAATAGTTTCCCACATTCTTTGTGCCTCTCTTAAGGGAGCACAATTGCCTAGCTATTCACAAAATTTCCAGACTAGCAGCTGGTCAATGCATGCTGTATGTCATTGGCCTCAGGGGAAATAACCCGTCTATAAACAAATTTACTGCAGTTCTGTGACGCTTACTTGGAAATCAGTCTTATTCAATGCAAAGGGACTCCGTTTCAAGCAAATATGCATGGAATCGGTTGTCCCTGTGACAAGTGTGCAGTTTGATGAACTGGTGTGTCATAAGGGTTACAAACAGGAGTTGTGGGCAGGGAAGTGCCTGGTTCAAATCTCAGCACTGTCATCCCTTAGGGTGACCTTGGGCAAGCCACTATATAGCTTCAGGTCTCTATCTATAATAGGGTCGTAGTAATACTTACCCTGAGAGGATTGTGCCAATTGGTGGACAATCATGTATGTGAAACCCTACATCATTGAGGAGGAAATGCGTATTAATAGCAAGGCAAACTTGGCAGCAGCACACTCACTTGTGTATACAAGCAGGTAGAACTCGGGGGACACTTACTAAATAAATGCATTGTTGCCGGGTACTTTGTGGATCACGCTGCACATTTGTTCTTTCCATTCAAAAGCCCTGGCTGCGTGACAGGTTTATCATGGGGGGGGGGGGGGAGGGTGTAAAGCGGCTTCATTCTAAAATCAACACCCACATTTCACAATGTCCTGGAAATGGGAGGGGGAGTAGTTCGTGTGCCCACATCCATCAACCACCGAATCTGACTGAGTCTTTTTCTGTAGCCCTAGAAACCCAAGCACGAATTGTACAAGAGTAGCCAAAAATAAAACTCCGGCCAAGGTTCAAAAGCAGCTTTCGAAACACTGCATTTTCACGACCTCTTGGTTCCAAAAAACACGATTGCCCTAAAGAGCTGTCTGGACTGGCAGGGTGCCGATAGCCTGAGAGCTGAAGGAAACGAGAGGCTACGGGACATTAACCAGAGCTGGTGTTGCCAAAGCAAACCAACAGCGCCTGCAAATCTGGCGGGTTTGGACGGGGGACACCGCCGACTCAACCCCGGTATTTAAAGTGCACGGGCGCGATCCAACCCCATTCCGTTCAATAGCTGTTCTTTCCTTTCCTTTCCTTTTTAAAGACACTATTTTAAGGGTTTTCGACTATTAGCCCCTCCTTTCTGCAAAAAAGAGAGAGAACTGGAGGGGAATACTTTGCGGCATTCCCATTTGCAGAGTCTCGTGGTTTCTAATGGTTGCTTAATTCCGACTGCTAAAAAAGCAACTTTAAAAAAAACACCCCTTTTTAAAACAAAAAAAAGCGCTATTGCGGGGGGGGGGGGGGAGACGCACGCTTGCAACAGCCGGGGTGTTTAGAGTAAGCGAGAGCCGCCTACGTCACAGCTGTACTTCAGAGCCCCGCTTGCCTCCAAGAGCCTTTTTTGGGAGGTGGCGCTTCGTCGTGTCTCGCTAAGCAAATCAGGCGCCCGAGGCAGGCGAGCGAAGTCCCGCCCTCTCCCCCGCCCTCGGCCCCCCCGTTCGGCTATAAAGAGGCGGCCTGGCGCGGGAGAGTCAGCCGAAGTGTGCTTCTTAGCGAGTTAGGAAGGAAAGGAGCTGGTCGGCGCGCCCTGAAATCGGAAGTTCAAACGCAGGAGTATGCAGAGTGCAATGTTCCTGGCTTTCCAGCACAGTCAGATGGAAAGGAGCGATAGCAACTGCCAGAGCCACGAGGAGAAAAAAGGGAAAATGAAGAAAACGCTGTGAGTTCCATTATTTCTCGTTAAGGGCTCTGATGGGTGTCGCGTAGATCCTTCCCACCCACTCTCCACCGAGGAAAAGTCTTTCGTAAAACGCATTGCAGAAATCTACCTGAATTGTTGCATGCGATTTTGCAACGCCGACCTTTGAGAAAAACGCTTCGGTTAGCGAGGTGAAGGGGATTGACTTGTGTTTTGGCTCTTTCACGTTTCAGACTTAGGAGAAGGGTTCTGTGGAACGCGGAGGCTTGCGTACGTGACTCGAAACATGTTGACGCTTATCTGGGACAATCGTAGAACGTTCCCTTAGATTAGGGGCTCGAACGAGACTTTTTCTTGTATCTGACCAGGGTTAAGCTCGGCTGATGAGGTTTTAAATACCAGCTGAAACAAACAAGAGTTTCAGGTTCTCAGTCCGATAACGCTGGTTGCTCGTTACTTACAACAGTGCGACCCTGAGGTCAGGGTCCAGTTGACCTAACAGCATTTGGGAGTGGGGATGGCTTTCTCCTGTAGAAAATCGGCTATACAAACATCCTAAAGTGAGGGCTGAACCCCTTGGGGGAAAGGTTTCCTTGTGTTAAAAGGATTTCCACTGCATACTGTGAGGAGTCTTGCAAATGCAGCTCTAGTTGAGCCCTTAATATAACTCAGGTAATTGGGTTTTTTGTTCTCCAGTATAGTACTAGTTGGATGCTGCTTATGTTTTTTAAACACCTTTTTTTTTTGCAGAGTATGTTGCTTTTCAAATGTTGCGGGGCAAGTTCATTTTACAAAAAAGAATACCCTAGCAAATGAGAGAATCTCTCATTAGTTAGAATCTCTTTTTTTTAAGTATTTGTAAAGATCTCTGCTATTCCCAGCTGCAAAGAAGAGCTGGCCAAAAGGATTTGGCTTGTTCTGTTGCTCTCTCAATATTGTGCCTGAATTAGAAATACTCCGCTACAGCCTATGCATGTGTGCTTGGAAGTCAGTCGGGCTGAATTTAGTGGGACTTTCTTGCCAAGTAAGCATGCATAGGACTTGATTTTATCTTATTTATGTCTTGCCTTTCAAGAATTATGGCTTAATTCTCCCAAATGCGTGACTGCGGCCAAAGGTGGTGTTCTGAGTAATGAGTCCTAATGGGTTCACACATGCATATCCATTACTTGATTGAATAAGATTGACTGTGAAACAGAACTGTCATGTCTCAAGCATGATGACTTTTCCATGGGAGCAGCTCACGCTTTCAGCTGCCAGTGGTAACAGACAACCACCTTAGTCACTGCAGGCAGATGTGGAGCTTCCAAAGTCAGTGTCTTGATTGTTTAATGGGGGGGAGGGCATAATTAGAATCTGGAGACTTGCAAATACAACTGTAGTTGGTTTTAATCACTGCAACCTCTAATGTCTTTGCATTTCTAGAATTAAAAAAATGGGGACAGATTACTTAATTTATTTTTTTTTTGTCCCTTGTAGCATAAAAGATTGGAAATCAAGACTGAGTTACTTCCTGCAAAACTCGTCTGGTTCTCCTAAAGCAAAAGACAACAAGAAAGGACAGCAAAAGGCTATCAGGTGAGTGTCTTGTTTTCTGCAAAAGTGGGTCTTAGCATTTGTTTTAAACTACATGATGGGAAATGAACAGTGTGTTGGAACAAGAAACCTCATTCTCTGTCTTCTCGTTTTTCCCAGACCCTCTCCTGAGGAGGCCCAGCTATGGTCAGAAGCTTTTGATGAACTCCTGGCTAACAAGTGTAAGTTGCCTTCAAAAGTGAGAAGTTGACAGGCAAGGGCATGTTTTGTCCCTTGCAAGGATATCTCGGGGGTGGGGGTGTGTGGATGCTTCCTAGGACAGGAACCAGCAGTTTCCTTTTGCGTCAGAATTCTGGATGGCCGCTTCTACTTGCATTTTTGCGCCTGACTTTTTAAAAAGATTAACATTTGGGGCAGCTTGCAGCCCAGATTCATAGAAAGCATTTGCCTGTTTTTACTGCAGCCATTTGGTCTGTGAAACTCTGGTTTTTGTACTCTAGTTAATGTGTATTTTTAGCTGGCCTTGCATTCCTTTGGAGCTATGTCAGCTGTAATATACATCTGCAATTAAAAAAAGAGGGCTGTTACTTAAAACGTCTTGCGTGTGGCAAATCAAAGGTGTGAGCCCTGTGTCGGTGCAATCCAGTGCAGAGTTCCTGTAGCCGAAGCCTGCTGAAACTGATCTGCTTAGACCAGAGCAACTGTAGTGGCTTCCTCTTGTATATGTTGCAAGTGACAACTCTTACAGGGCAATAAAACCAGCACTGCCCTGCCTTTGGTCTCCTATCAAGCATCCAGCCTTAGTTACTCTTCCCCGTGCCTGCTGGTTACCTCTTTTGTATGACTGTAGCATTTCTGAGGGTGACTGCAAAGCTGGAATTTTCCCCAGTCACTTTCAGACTTGGCCTTTTTTTAGCTTTGAGGACTAGAAACCTTAAAAGTAAAATGTTTCCCATCCTTCATAGCCAGCACCTCACAGCCCTGAGGCGCTTTTATATACATGTGCTCATTCCTGGTCAGATTCCAGGAACTTTTAGAGTCTTAGAACTGATTTCAGGTTGACCAAAGGCTTGGAAAAAGGTGTTTGGAATGGCTGTGTGCATTGTCTTCCTTGTGAAAAGAGTGCATTGTGTCATTGGCTGGAAAATGCTTATTCTGCTGTTCCGCTGTGAATCTGTAATAATGAGTTTATAAGAGTCCAGTTTGCTGTGCAGGCCTTTTGGTCTCCCTAACAAAGAAGAGGATTAATTAATTCATGTTGGCTGGAGTGCGACTTCTGAGTCAGTCTTTCCATTGCATGAGTTTATAGCTCTTCTATAAATATTTATGCCAGTCCAAAGGTTAACATACAGAATCTATGTGCAGGGGAGAAATCATATAAGCTGTCCCCCTCCTGCCTGCCTTAATTGTAGGCATGTTGACCTGTTCGGAAAGAACGTGGGTGATTTTTTTTTAAGTTGCAGATATTAATTTTGCAACAGGAGGTATTGGCAAGCTGCTTCAGACAATCTACAGCCTCCTTTTAGAAGAAAAATATTTTGGCATGTTTTATGTAAATGAACTGCTGGACAGAGACAGCCAAGGCATGTGTATGAAGGCAATGTATATATGCACAGCACATTCCCGGGATGCTTTAAACTAATCTGTCCTTTTCACCTTTCTTTGTAGATGGTCTCGCAGCCTTCCGGGCAGTCCTGAAATCTGAGTTTTGTGAAGAGAACATTGACTTCTGGCTGGCTTGTGAGGATTTCAAGAAAATCAAGTCCCCACAGAAGCTGACTTCGAAGGCCAAGAAGATTTACAGTGACTTTATTGAAAAGGAAGCTCCCAAAGAGGTGAGCAAGAACCTGACTTTGGAAGTACAGCCACGGCTTTTGACTCGATGCCAATGTATTGCTTGGTCTGAGGCCTGAATCACTGGAAGTCGTACCAGGACAGAACCTCTATGTCAAAAATGGGGTATTGGAACTGACAATCCATATGGGTTTTTCAGACAATGAATCCTGTTCTTTTGCTCAAGGATACTTACTGAAATACCTTCCATGGGTTTTTTCAGTTCTGGTGAATCACCAGAGAGAGAGAGGAATACAACCTCAGAATGGCCCCTAAATTTTTTTTGAGATAGCAGTCCATAAAGTTCTTTGAGACTGCTTAGTACATGTTTGTATCATAGAATTCTTATCAAGGAACTCAGGAGTGGATGTAACTATCCACACAGGAGCAGTGGTGACTGATCACCCAAGAACCTTAACTATTCTGAGAAGAAAGAATTGTGACACGTGACCATTTTAGACTAGATGGTGGACATAGATGGTGGACTCCTATAAGTCTGAAATTCAGGATTGCTCTATGTTAAACTGAGTAGGGGGTTGCCACTTAACTGATTTTGGTAGAATTTTAGCTCACCCAATTGGCTCCCATGGAAGCCTCTCTAATTACACATACAGCCAGGGTGAAAATACATTAATGATGGTCCTTCTTCTGCCAGCAATAGCTAGTTGCCACCTTGGAGCATTTTGCTTGTCTGCAGATGTGGCATCCCATTTGTGTCTATGAGTAGTCTATGGCTAAGCTGAAATACATGGAGGGACGGATGCTCTCTAGCTTTGATAGCATTTAAGGATTGGAAAAATTCAGAGCAATGGTTGTTAGTCTTCCATGTTGCGTGCAAGTTCCACCCGTTTAGGGTGGTATCTAGAGCAAGCAAGAAAGGATGACTATCTGCAACTTTGTTTGCTTGAGTGTTCTAGAGCATCAAGTTGACTGCTGTTGGAGAGCATCGAATTGCATTAGCCTTGCATCTCATTTAGCATAGGCAATTACAACCTTATGTGCCTGATGAAAAATTCCTCTTCCGTTTCAGATTAACATAGACTTCCAAACCAAGAACTCCATTGCCCAGAACTTGCAAGAGGCTACTCACGCCTGCTTCAATGCAGCCCAGAAGAGAGTGTACAGCTTGATGGAGAATAATGCCTACCCACGGTTCCTGGAGTCCGAATTCTACCAGGAGTTGTGTAAAAAGCCGCAAATCAGCAGGGAACCTCAAGGAACATGAACTCCCACGTCCTGGCAGATAAAGAGAAGAGCAACAAAGAGAATGCCACTTCATCCATGGAGGAAGAGGACCTGCATGTCTTTACAGGCCCCATGGACTCGGAACTGAACGTACAGGGGGATCTGCCCCAGTGTCATTTTGTTGTCAAATGGACTGACCTGTTGACTGTGGTGGGGTTCTCTATATAGAGTGGTGATAACGAAAAGCGTAAGAGGAAAAGCAAGCAAAACTGCTGGCCAGTTGCTAGGGAACCTTTGTTTTCTGTACAAAAAAGTGATGCATTGGGAAAGGAATGTCTTGCGCACTACTGAACTACTGTGGGTCCTCTGACTCTATATGTCAGCCTGGATGTCCTGGCACTCCATGCCAGATCAGATCCAGCCTCCTTACAAAAAGTTAAGGTCTGGAACTGCTTTGCACTCCCGTACTGGGACTTTGGAAACTGCTTTGACTAATTGGCTGCCCCTCAGTTTCCTAAAGCTCTGGGCAGGACTTAGCCCTTGTCTTCATGTCTCTCTAGCTTCCTTTATGCAGGTTCTGCTTTCTGCAGTTCACCCAGCTGTGTATAGATGTAGCCAATTTCTGTATGACTGCTAGACATAAATTCCAACGTAGCTGTAAAGTTTAATACAGGGAGAGAGAGAAGGAGGAATGACTGACTGAAAAACAGAGCATGCTGATGACCAGTTTGGGTCAAGCTGCCTGTGCAAGGTGGAGCAGAATCCGGCCCAGACTTCAGAGTGACATTCTGTATAGTGCATGTGTATTTTTGACTCTGGTTGTGTTGTACACTCCTGCCAATGCTGAACGTACTGACAAGGCAAACTTCAGGGAAGTTGTCTTTTTTTTTCAAATGACAGATTTGTTTTAATAAATTTTTATTTTCATAGAACATGCTGCCTTAAATTGTAGGGAGGGGAGTTTGAAGTGTGCTACCAACTTTGAAAATACATCTATATCAGTCCATTTTAGCATTTGGTTCCTTTTGATGCTGTGAAGAACTCTTCTTGCCCTGACATGGATAGCCTAGGCAAGCCTGATCTCGTCAGATTTCAGAAGCTAAGTAGGGCCAACCCTGGCAAGTACTTGGATGAGAGACCTCCAAGGAATACCAGGGCAGGAAGGCCAGAGGCAGGCTATCAAGCCACTTCTCTAAACACCCTCCATGCCCCGGTAGAAGTGGCCAGAGGTTGCCATGACTTCTAGGCACAGGTACATGCACAAATGGGAAAATACCAGGAATTAAATAAAAAAGAATTCATTGTGTCTTAGCTTAGGTACATCTAGAACCTAAACTTTTTCCTGGAAGAAGAGCAAATGAATTGTTGTTCAGACTGTGGTACTTGCTATCCTACACAAGATTCCAGTTTCCCTGGGCTCAAATAGAAAAGGTGGGTCAACATATCAATGGCAGGAGGTGTAGTGGCTGCCTACTCTCTTGTTGCTGGGTGCTGAGTACCTTAGAGAAAGATACCTTGACCGGCAGCACTAAGGAGGGTAGTTCATCCAAGTGACGGAGGAAAGAACAAGGAAGCAACAGCTTTTATGTTATGGGAATACAGATTTATTTCATTTCTGTACCACCATCTCCAAGGACCTCAGGGAGCAGCAGGATCCTTAAAGAGGGCAAGCTTCCCAGTGGGCTATGGAACCTCTGAGCATTTAGGGAATTGGCCAAGCATACGCTGTGGATGGGAACCTCCCAGGAGATGGTAAGAGGCTGGGACTCCCAACAGCCATGGAGATCCTAACTTATTCTTCCTGTAGCTTTCAATCACAAATGTACTGTGAAGTAAGCCCTGCTTTGAGTTCAGTGGAACCTTCTGAGGAAGTTTGTTCAGGACAAAAAAAAAAAATTGGGGGCCTTACCAGCTTTTGCCTTGTGTACTTGAATGGATATAAGGGCACAGACCGCAAAAAAGATTCTCCCTTTCGGTATCACAGCATCAGTCTGCCTTATACCCAGTACACAGCTTCCTTGTCTTCATGTGAAGATGCTGATGCACCGAGAGAGGGAGAGAGGCAATGGCTTGGTCTGACATGCTGGGAGCAAGCCAAGCCTCAGTGGTGCAGCCAGCACCTTAGAGGCTCATCTGGGTGGCTTGACTAGAGACCCAGGCCAGTTTGCTGAGCAAATAGTTTTGTATGCCAGTGTTCTGCACACGCCGGGTTGCCTATCCCCATTCCAGTGTGATATGTAGTTTGATACTGAAGTAGTAAACTTGCTCCTGAGCTGTACCATTTCAGGCTGCAGGAGGAGCTTAAAATGATGGAACATTTCTCCATCCCACAAAATTGCCTCCATGTAGAAAATAGGCATGCCAAGGGGAAGGGGTTCTCATCTAACCTCCCAGATATATTTTCTGGGTGAGAGGAATATGTTTGAAGAGCATTCTGTACATGAGCCTCACCTGCAGTCTGAAGCAGTAGACAGGCCAGATAACCACATCAGGATAAATAGGCTACCGCTGATCCCTGTGACAGTTTGGGGACTGCTGTTTTGACTGTTCCTCCATATCGCAAAAATCCCTGCACAGAGAAAACCAACATCCCAGGAAGAAAGCTAAACAAGAACTTATAAGGGTTTTGTTATTCTTTTTTAACTGCACGGGGAGATTCCAGGGGAGCATGCAAACACAGAATGCCCTGGCTTGCAAGTAAAAAGTCTCAAGAAATTGCCATGCGATGTTGAGACCAAACTTACCAGGAATACATCAGGGAGGCTAGACTAGACCACTTTCCTTGGCATGCTTACTTTCAATGTGGAGGCAGTTTTAGTTTCTTTGGATGGAGGAGTGTTCAGTCAAAGGGACCTTTGACCCTGGAAAGTTTGGGGCTCTTTTTGTAGAAAAAGCCCAGCAGGAACTCATTAGCATATTAGGACACACCCCTAACAGTGCAGCTCATTAGCATGTGAGACCACACCTCCATGTTACCAGAAGTGTGGTCATCTAGCCACAAGGAGGCCAAATCAAAATTTTGGGAGGCTCCATGCCACACATCCTCCTACAAAGGATGCAGATCATTCTGCACTGGTGTTAATGCTGACACAAAAGTGATACTTCCGGGGCAATTCTGAAACACCTCCTGCTGCATGCAAGTGGGTGTCAGATAAGATGCCAGTGGGCACCACACTGGGGAATCACAGTGATAGACTGTAGAGGCGATAAACAAATCTGATTGTTTTTTATGTATTAGTTGGCTGTAGCTCTGTGGGTTTATTTGCATATTTCAGAAATACTCAAGGCATTATTTGCTGGCAATAAAGAAAGATTTGATATCAAGACAAACTGGATCTCCTAGAAAAACAGAGTTGCAGCTTTGTTCTACATATGCAAACAACATTTTCTCCAATTCTGATTCCAAATGCCAAAATGTTGTTATTAACAATTGCAGCAACACTTAACATTTAAGTTTCAAAGTACTTACCCAGTAATAATCCTGTAAGGGATATTGTGTTTACTTCCCTGTACAGGTGGAAGGATCACAAGTGAGAAATTATGGGCTGCTTAAACTTACTAGGTGAATTTTTAAAAAAGCAGGTAGCAGGTGTGACAAAATCCATGCAGTAGCTTTTATTAGGTGAATAAAGGTGATTTGGGTACCAAACTCAGGTGAGACTGAAGGTCCTAATTCACAGTAGCCACTGAACCAACCCAAGCCTTTTAGCTGCTTTTGTCCCTCTTCTCCGGTGGACTGCCAGTCTACTCTTATTTTATTTATTTATTTATATTTAAATTTATACCCCGCCCTACCCCGAAGGCTCAGGGCGGCTTACAGGGCACTAAGTGCCAGGTTAAAACAATACAATATGGTTTAAAACAAT